GGATTCTCCTTAAGAAGTTCAGGCTACCACAAAGGAGTCCGGACTCAAGACACGGCAGTCAGAACTGGCCCTGCTTCCCATTGAAATCCAGCGATGGGAGCGTGGCCTTGGATGGATTTAGAGGGCACAAGGGACTAGCCCTGCCATCTTAACCGCGCGTAGTTGGCAAAGGAATTCAGGATGAGATCGGGGAGCCAGACATCGAGATATGAGAACTTTATTGAGGATTTAAATACGGACTAGGAAAATTGCAGTTATCAAAAAAAAGATATGGACAAGCCAACCCCACGTCGTGCCTACTTCTGACGGAGACCTTCTGATAAAGAGACAAGAAGAGTTTAGTGGAGGACGCCCCATAAGCGGGTATCTGCCACCCCAATGTGCCCACTAGACGTCAGACATTCACCTTACTTTAATACCCTTTCTCCTATCCACCCATTTGTGGCTGGCAGCCATGTTTAATTTGCTCGCCGGGCCCGGTCCATGTGGGGCGTTCCAGGTAACTGTAATTGGGGGACCCCAATTGCTACCACCAGCTATTCAAGGCTGGACATTCCCCCAGCGTTTCCAACAGGTTAACATGGCGAACCTCAGGGTTACGTGCACCAAAACTGGGGGGCAATTTTGTTAATTTGTGGTGTCCTTGTTTCTCCCCCAGTACACACAACTAATTCTTAGCACGCTAGGTCACATACTTTAACAGAGAGAAGATGGATGAGGAAATATCTGTTATTGGACCAACTTCTGTTGGTGGGAAAGAGACAATAGAGCCTGAAGAAGAGCTTGAAAGCTTAAATCTCAAACTAATTACCAAGCCTATTTCATTATTTATACGTTTATTCCTCAATAATTGCATAACAGCATCTTTAGCACCCTTTTGTCATCGCCCTTTCTGACCAAAAAGAGGACACCGACATCTAGCGAGTGCGGCTGTAGCTAAAAATGGACATTGCCGTTCTCCGTGACACCAGATTTACTGATGATGGGCGATTCACAGAGATCAGAGTGGGGTACATGCTCTCCTGGTGAGGTCGCCCAGCCTCAGTGCCATGACAAGCAGGTGTTGGCTTTGAAATCAGCAACTGCATTGTTCCCAAGCTTGAAAGTCTACCTAAAGGCAGAAGTGACCATCTTATGGGTCTATGGTTGCCTTTGAAATGTAAGTACATTACCATGAGCAGCACGTACATCCCTACCGTGAGAAATGCAGATGACGTGAAAAAAAATTATAGTGACTTTGACAAACTCATCGTGTCAACGTCAGATAAGCTAATCATCATGGACTTTTAACGCAAAGGTTGGAAGTAACAGGGTAATATGGCGGAACGCCATCGGACACAATGGGACTCAGAAAGAGAATAGCAATGGTCGCACTCACTAAGTAGCAGAGTTCAAGGGGAAATTAGCAATTGCAAACGGCTTTTTCCACCTATCTGACAAAACAAAAATGTCACAGGCAAGCCCAAGGTCCAAACAACAGCATCTTATTAACTGCCTTGTTGATTGGCAGCGAATTCGACAAGTCACTGTAGCCATGCATGGGGCAGACCACTCCAAACTGTTGCTAGTAATTCAAGTGGCACAGCGTAAGTCGTCCTTTAAACCAGTCAGACAACTCAACATAAAGCGATTTGAGCAGAGATTAGTTTCAACATCAGGACAAGTTTTCCAAGATCTGGTCAAGGATGTAAGGTCAACAGAAGTGTCTCCATCTCCTTCAGGCCTGCAATGGGATCCAGCGGGTCTAGCCAACAACCGGCCAATATTAGTCCCCCCAAAGTGCAACTCCAAGCTCATCTAGATCCATCAACATCTGGACTGAAATGTGGAACCGGAACCACTTCAGTGATGCCAATGGATGATTTATCAATGGATGAAGGAGAAATCTCCATTCTCTCATGCTCTCTGCCATGTTCCTGTCAACTGTGATCTCGCTGTCTCGGCCAGGAAAGGCTGCAGGGTCCAGGAGAACGTTCTGAAATGGTTGGAGTCATTTTTAGAGTGACACTAGGATGGGCAACTTCACTTCCACCACTAGACCCCTCATGAGTGGAGTCCCATTAAAGGATCAAATCTCTGTCCACTCCTATCAAACACCTGTCAGACGACTCGGACTCAAGCCCCAATGACACGCAGCTAACTAGGCTTGGCCAAATTCATTCTTTTATGGATAGTAATGTTTATTTTTAAGCTTTATTCTGCAAGTTTTATCTAATTATGTTTTCACAGTCACACAAAGTTTGGGAGGGTTGACGCATCTAACCCTAACCCTAATTGGTATTTTCACCCATTTAAATTTTCGCAGCCACGTGGCTTGATGGGCGTCTCAGCCAAGAACAATTTAACAATGGTCTCTAACAAGTTCTCAATGGGCATTTTTTGCCTCTCCGTGAATTTCGACACTCATCGGTGGAAATATTTAGTGTCATTTGGGTGCATGCAGGCACAACCAACGTTTACCACCATTTACAGATAAATATCTAATTTTCCCATGTCTAGAGATGGCACCCAACTCTACTCATCCTCCACCACATAGGACCAAATCTCCACCGGTTAGATGGCCAAATGTTTGGGCAAGATCAGCCCACGAACGGAGAACAGCTGGACCCAAGCAGAGGTGATGCTGGAGGACCGAGCGGAGGAGCACGAGGAGCTCCCAGACACCCTGCCGTCTCCTCCCGTGGTAGGTTCACGCCCAGAGTTGCTCATGGCCTGGCAACGCTTCCGACGTTGACCTCGCTGCTCAACGGGGAGACTCCAGTCCGCGCCAGCAGACGACAACGCGGCCTCGGTTACACGATCGCCTCTCGGGTGGAGCACGGCAACGCCGTCGACCTGGAGCCACCGGCGCAGAACGTGGCCGGGCAGCCAACGCGGCCGCGGCGCCACACGGAGTCGCAGTCCAAGACTCGAGGCTGATCTTCGAGGGGCTCCAGGGTCAAGGATGGTCCAAATTCCCGGAGTCAGGGCAGGGTCGATGCGATCGGGACGGGACGGGCCCGGCGACGTGGTGTCCTCAGGGGCCTGCCTCGGACCCGTGTCCCTCGCCGAGCGCCCTACACAGAACCCCAACACCCCCCCCCGTGGAACACCCCCCTACTGAGGGGGACCCCAGCCCCCCCCCGGGACACACCACCGCCCCGCCCCATAGAAAGGGAGCCCAGGCCCCCCAGCTACTCACTCCCGGGCCTGCCCGGCCGCTGCCATCCCGCGACCGGTTTGTTGTTCCGGCCGCCACCCGCGTTCGCGCCTTTTCCTTCAACGCTGTTGGCCCCGCCCCGGCCACCGAAAGAGCCAATCAGCAGACGGGTTCCCTCAGGGAAGCCCCGCCCAGACCTCCGAAGGCCCAATCAGCAGGCGAGTTCCCTCAGGGAAGCCCCCGCCCAGACCTCCGAAGGCGCCAATCAGCAGGCGAGTTCCCTCAGGGAAGGCCCCGTCCGGGCCTCCGAAGGAGCCAATCAGCAGGCGAGTTCCCTCAGGGAAGGCCCCGCCCGGGACTCCGAAGGAGCCAATCAGCAGGCGAGTTCCCTCAGGGAAGGCCCCGCCCGGGACTCCGAAGGAGCCAATCAGCAGGCGAGTTCCCTGAGGGAAGGCCCCGGCGACAAGGCGGCCCCCTGGAGAGTGGCCGCCATGTTGGAGCCGGGAGAAATGGGGGCGGCCATCTTGAAACGGAACTAGCAGGGGGCAGCCATCTAGGAACCACGCGAAGGGGGGTGTTCAGGTGGGGCGGCCATCTTGGAACCATGGGGGCCGCCATGTTGGCATAGGGCAGGATCCTGAGGCCGCCATCTTAGGAGAGGCAGGCGGCTGAGGGGGGCGGGCAGGGAAAGCAGCTGGCCGGGTTGGGAGGCTCCAAATTCTCTGTGCGCAGGGGGGGGGGGGAGGGAGTCAGGACGCCTGGGTCCTAATCCCAGTCCCGCCCCCGGCCCGGAGAGAACCCAGGAGTCCTGGCTCCCAGCCCCTCCCCTCAGCCCACGGGAGGGCGGGATCCAGGTGAGCCGCAGGTGTTGGCCCCGCCCCCGGCTATAAAGCACCTGCCCCCAGGTGCGGGTGGGGGAGGAGCCGCCATGGCCTGGACGCCCGAGAGCCGCAAGGGCCGAGCCCTGAGCGCCAGCAGCTGGGACCCCCCCGCCTGGAGGCGATTCCAGTAAGAGGGGGACAGGCAGCCCCCCCGCCGAGAACCCAGGAGTCCTGCGGGGCCCCCCTCCCTCCCCCCCCCGAGAACCCAGGAGTCCTGGCTCCCTCCTCCCCCCCGCCAAGAACCCAGGAGTCCTGGCT